ATACCTCGCTCTATGCACCTCCTGCTGGTACAGACATAACCTCTCCCTTGCAGCTCCATTAGTGAGTCAGTCCCTTGCAGCTCAGTTTGTAAGTGCAGCTTTAGTGCTCAGTTAGTGAGTCAGAGCACACCTGAAGGGATTCCAAGCCTCAATAATGACCACCGTAAACACACAGAGAGTTTACTATGTAGTGTAGAAGCAGTGGTTGCAGAGCGTGCATTCAGCCATGTTGTACCCACACATGGCCGCTCTGAACATGCAGGGAATCAGTGTCAGTCTTTCTACATCCCCTGTCACCTTTAGAGAGATTTGCTGCCCACGCTCTCTCTAATTGGATCCTGAGCCTGTAGCTGCTATGCTACCTGGCCCAGAATTTAAGCCATTCAGAATTCTGTTTTAGCCAGGCTGCTGGAAGCCTGGCTAAAACAGAGCAGCCACCACATGATAAGAGACAGCCCATGCTGTGCCTGAATGGTGAGCAAAACATTATACAGCACTTGTACTTTCATCCTGTTACAGTCTCCCCTCCTCATAGCCATATACTCCCACCCTGTCATAATACCTACCATGTCATAAAACCCACATTGTCATAATATCCACCCTGCAATATCGTATCTCACCTACATTCTGCATGGAGGAACTGAATTTTCCACATTGAGATGCATTGATTCAGAGCACCTCAATGAAGATATGCTGATTGCTGCAGTGTGACATTTTACTGTGCATTCGCTATAGCCTCCCAATCAGTGGTGGAACTATGGCTGCTGCGGCTAGGGGGGCCCATTGGGTGGCCCCCGCACTCAAGGCCACCTGATGGGTACTGCTGAACAGGGGCAGAGGCTATGCAACCTTTTAAGACTGCGATCGGGTCCCTGTGATATCTGCAGCCTGGGAGGAAGTGACAACCGATTACTTCCTCTTAGCTTCAAACAGAGCAGCACGGGAGGGAGGAGACAGCATGGAAGGAAAGGAGACAGCTTGGAGGGAGAGGAGAATGCAGAGGAGCAAGAAAATAGGAGCTCCGTACACTCCCGTCAACCTCAGCCAGCAACAGGACCTCAAGCAAGCCACCCTCCTGCGCAGAAAAGGTATTTTAGCAGGAGGGTGGCTGCAAATATTCAAATGACATGTATGTGTGCATGTGTCTTTGTATGTCAGATTGTGTATGTATGTGTCATGTTGTGACAAACTCTAACACTTACACTCACTAACAGACACACACTAACCTCACTAAAAGGCACACTAACACACTCACAGACACACGCTAACACACTCACTAATAGACACATTAACACTCTCACTAACAGACACACTAACATACTAACAGACACATTAACACTCTTGCTAACAGACACACACTAACACACTCACTAACAGACACACACACACTAACACACTCACAATTTTTACATTTTTTAATAAATTCAATCCACCCAGCCTCCCTACCTTTGGTGCTCTCTTGCGTGCACCGCAACACCAGCGCATGCCAGCTTTGGTGGATTCCTGAGGTGGCCAGCTGGCCAGCTCCTGGGCCCCTCAGGATAAGAGGCTGGCAAGGCTTTTGCCAGGGTGATTGGGGGGTGGATTTTTTGCTGACCCCTGAAAATGCCGACCAAGGCAAATACCTTGTCAGCCTCACGGTAAATACACCACTGGCAAAAGTACATAGAAATTACCTACATGGACAGATATGCTCTATACAAAAACATGCTTACATTCAAACGCACAATCCCTGCTCACAAATACAACCCTGCAATGGGCAAATGGTCCCTAGCGGATTCCTAGCTGGTGTAGCATAATTGAAATTGTACAACAAATGGGTATATACCTCTCCACCACTGCTTCCAATGCTTTCTTATAGGAGATCATCAAAACTGAAACCAGAGTGGCTGGGGATCTAAACAGGTATTCCAGCACAATAGTGTAAAGAATACATGCTTGTAATCCTAACACTAAAGTTACATAGTTAGTCAGGTCCATAAATATTGGGACATCGACACAATTCTAATCTTTTTGGCTCTATACACCACCACAATGTATTTGAAAGGAAATGAACAAGATGCGTTTTAACTGCAGACTTTCAGCTTTAATTTGAGGGTATTTACATCCAAATCAGGTGAACAGTGTAGGAATTACAACAGTTTGTATATGTGCCTCCCTCTTTTCAAGGGACCAAAAGTAATGCGACAATTGGCTGCTCAGCTGTTCCATGGCCAGGTGTGTGTTATTCCCTCATTATCCCATTTACAAACATAGAAACATAGAATGTGACGGCAGATAAGAACCATTCGGTCCATCTAGTCTGCCCAATTTTCGAAATACTTTCATTAGTCCCTAGCCTTATCTTATAGTTAGGTTAGCCTTATGCCTATCCCACGCATGCTTAAACTCCTTTACTGTGTTAACCTCTACCACTTCAGCTGGAAGGCTATTCCATGCATCCACTACCCTCTCAGTAAAGTAATACTTCCTGATATTATTTTTAAACCTTTGTCCCTCTAATTTAAGACTATGTCCTCTTGTTGTGGTAGTTTTTCTTCTTTTAAATATAGTCTCCTCCTTTACTGTGTTGATTCCCTTTATATATTTAAATGTTTCTATCATATCCCCCCTGTCTTGTCTTTCCTCCAAGCTATACATGTTAAGATCCTTTAACCTTTCCTGGTAAGTTTTATCCCCCACAATCCATTAACCAGTTTAGTAGCCCTTCTCTGAACCCTCTCTAAGGTATCAATATCCTTCTGAAGATACGGTCTCCAGTAGTGTGTACAATACTCCAAGTGAGGTCTCACCAGTGTTCTGTACAATGGCATGAGCACTTCCCTCTTTCTACTGCTAATACCTCTCCCTATACAACCAAGCATTCTGCTAGCATTTACTGCTGCTCTATTACATTGTCTGCCTACCTTTTAAGTCATCAGAAATAATCACCCCTAAATCCCTTTCCTCAGATGTTGAGGTTAGGACTCTATAATATATTCTGTACTCTGCCCTTGTGTTTTTACGTCCAAGATGCATTATCTTGCACTTATCCACATTAAATGTCAGTTGCCACAATTCTGACCATTTTTCTAGTTTACCTAAATCATTTGCCATTTGGCGTATCCCTCCTGGAACATCAACCCTGTTACATATCTTAGTATCATCAGCAAAAAGACATACATTATCATCAAGACCTTCTGCAATATCACTAATAAAAATATTAAAGAGAATGGGTCCAAATACAGACCCCTGAGGTACCCCACTGGTGACAAGTCCAAGCTTCGAATATATTCCATTAACTACAACCCTCTGTTGCCTGTCACTCAGCCACTGCCTTTCCCATTCAACAATATTGGAATCCAAACGTAAAGATTGCAGTTTATTGATAAGCCTTTTATGTGCAACAGTGTCAAAAGCCTTACTGAAATCTAGGTAAGCAATGTCTACTGCACCACCCTGATCTATAATTTTAGTTACCCAATCAAAAAAAATCAATAAAATTAGTTTGGCATGATCTCCCTGAAGTAAACCCATGTTGTCGCTGATCTTGAAATCAATGTGTTTTTAGATGTTCATCAATCCTATCCTTTAACATGGTTTCCATCACTTTCCCCACTACTTACTGGCCTATAGTTGCCCGACTCCTCCCTATTACCTTTCTTGTAAATGGGCACAACATTCGCTAACTTCCAATCTTCTGGGACTTCTCCTGTTAACAATGATTGGTTAAATAAATCTGTTAATGGTTTTGCTAGAACACCACTAAGCTCTTTTAATAGCTTTGGGTGTATTCCATCAGGTCCCATTGACTTATTTGTCTTTACTTTTGACAGTTGAAATAGAACCTCTTCCTCTGTAAACTCACATGTAATAAATGACTCATTTATTATTTTTCTCAACTGAGGTCCCTTTCCTTCATTTTCATCTGTAAATACAGAACAAAAATATTCATTGAGGCAGTCAGCTAGACCTTTATCCTCTTCTACATACCTTCCTTCTTTTGTTTTTAATCTAACTAATCCTTGTTTTACTTTTCTTTTCTCATTTATGTATCTAAAAACGTTTTATCCCCCTTTTTTACTGACTGTGCTATTTTCTCTTCTGTGTGTGATTTGGAAGCTCTTATAACTTGCTTAGCCTCTTTCTGCCTAATCTTCTAGATCATTTTGTCTGTTTTTTTATAATTCCTAAATGCTAACTTTTTGTTTTTAACTATTTTGGCCACATCTGTGGAGTACCACAGTGGTTTCTTGATTTTTTTGCTTTTACTGACAAGCCTAATGCAATTTTCTGTTGCCTTCAATAGTGCAACTTTGAAATAATCCCATTTCTCTTGGACTCCATTTAAATTGCTCCAGTCTGATAATGACTCCTCTACCCATATTCTAATTTTAGAAAAGTCTGTTTTTCTAAAGTCTAAAACTTTTGTTTTTGTGTGGTGTGACTCAGCCACTGCACTTATATTAAACCACACTGACTGATGATCACTGGATCCTAAACTTTCACCTACAGTAATATCTGATACCAAATCTCCATTTGTTAACACTAAATCTAGTATGGCCTCTTTATGGGTTGGCTCCTCAACAACTTGTTTTAGAGACAATCCCAGTAGGGAGTTTAGAATATGTGTGCTCCATATGTATATATGTAATACCACATGTCCTATCTAATCAGCGCTAAATGTTTACATTTGCCTATGTTTTTTTATATTAGTATGGATGATGCTAATGTCTCGTACGTTTTGTAAAAGAAAATTGAAATAAATAAAATATTAAAAAAAAAAATATGTGTGCTCCTGGCACAAGTAGCTAATTTTGTTTTCCAATTTACATCAGGAAGATTAAAGTCACCCATGATGATAACTTCCCCCTTCATTGTCATTTTAGCTATTTCCTCAACTAGTAGATTATCTAACTATTCAATTTGTCCTGGGGGCCTATAAATCACACCTTCACGAGTTACTGTGTGATTACCAAATTCTAACGTAACCCAAACGGACTCTATGTTTGCCTCACTAACTTTTATTAGGCTAGATTTTATGCTATCCTTCACCTACAAGGCCACCCCTTCCCCTTTCTTGCCTTCCCTATCTTTCATATATAAAGAGTACCCTGGTATTGCCATGTCCCAGTCATTTTTCTCATTATACCATGTCTCAGTAACAGCGACTAAATCTACACTATCAGTTGCCATTATTGCCACAAGTTCATGGATCTTATTCCCTAAACTGCGAGCATTTGTAGACATGACTCTAAGCTTATCATTTTTTAACACACTTGCTACAGGCACCTTCTGTCCTTGTTTTGGGGGAACAATTGGATTGATGTTTTATCACCCTTTTGCCCCCCCCCTCCTAGTTTAAATAGATCCTAGCAAAACTTCTGAACTGCTCACTGAGAACATTTGTTCCCTTTTGAGAAAGATGCAAACCATCTTTTTTGAACAGCTTATCTCCATTCCAAACAGAGCTACCATGAGAAATAAAGCCAAATCCTTGCTCCCGACACCATTCACCAAGCCACAAATTAAAGTCCCTAATACGCATCCGCCTGTCGTTCTGAGTGTTATGCATAGGCAAAACTTCAGAGAATGACAGTGTGGAAGCAACCTGCCGGATATCATTGGCAAAACCACAAAAAACTTCCTTAACCTCTGAAACCTCATTGCAAGCCAAGTCATTTGTCCCTAGATGAACAAGTACATCCAATTACCCTTCCTGCTTTGCTTGCTTAACAATATTACAGATACGTCTCCTGTCTCTGTGAGCAGTAGCTCCGGGAAGACACCTCACAAGACCACCATTGTCCATCTCCACACCTCTTATAATGGAATCCCCCAACAACAACTGCTTTCTATTAGGCCTCACCATAGTTTCCAAGCCGGTCTCCACAACACCACTAGCCTCAGTGCCTCTCTCCACAACACCACTAGCCTCAGTGCCTCTCTCCACAACACCATTACACTCTGAAAGTGCAGAAAATGAATTATGTAGAGCAACAGACTGTGCAAAATGCCTTTTATCCACAACTCTAAGTCTACCAGATCCTACAGTAATCCATCTGCTATTCCTAGTATGTCTCTGCGGCAGTGGCTTTGCAGCAGTTCCAGTCTGAGTTTGTTCACCAGATAATTTACAAATCTCAGACTTCAAAAATACAATCTCCTGCCGCAAGATAGAGAACTGTCTACAGATTAGACAACAACCAAACCTCCAAAAAGTGGAACATGAAACAAATGCATAGCAACTATTACACTGAACTAAGTCTGCCATTCCAATAAGGAGAATAATTTAAATCAAACAAATCTTAACTTTGTATTTATCCTCCTGAATACCTCAGATTACCTCCAGTTTCTCTCCAGAATATCTCCAACTACACACTTAGAAACAGCACTTAGAAGTAGCAACCAAGCTATATTAGCCAAGCTAATGACAACAGCCCTTATATAACTTCTAAAATCACCACCCACTAGGAATGTTTAACACCTGGGTAGGCCTCTGCTTATTTGCAAACAATAGCTAATTTAAACAGCAATCAATAGCAAGTAATCTAATCAAATGCCTTATAATTACCATCTGGAATTCAAACCTTGTGCAATCAGTAACCTTTTTCCTACAGATGAATCTTACCTATAACAGTAGAAGAGAAAGCTCTTAGCACAACTCTTAGACAGTTGAAGCTTCTGTAAAACTCTCCAGAATATCTCCAACTACACACTTAGAAACAGCACTTAGAAGTAGCAACCAAGCTAACAAGTATCAAACAATGAGCAGATAAAAGGTCCAGAGTTAATTTCAAGTGTGCTATTTGCATTTGGAATCTGTTGCTGTCAACTCTCAATATGAGATCCAAAGAGCTGTCACTATCAGTGAAGCAAGCCATCATTAGGCTGAAAAAACAAAACAAACCCATCAGAGAGATAGGAAAAACATTAGGTGTGGCCAAATCAACTGTTTGGAACATCCTTAAAAAGAAAGATGCACCGGTGAGCTCAACAACACCAAAAGACCCGGAAGACCACGGAAAACAACTGTGGTGGATGACCGAAGAATTATTTCCCTGGTGAAGAAAACACCCTTCACAACAGTTGGCCAGATCAAGAACACTCTCCAGGAGGTAGGCGTATGTGTGGCAAAGTCAACAATCAAGAGAAGTCTTCACCAGAGTGAATACAGAGGATTCACCACAAGATGTAAACCATTGGTGAGCCTCAAAAACAGGAAGGCCAGATTAGAGTTTGCCAAACAACATCTAATCAGATGAGACCAAGATCAACTTGTACCAGAGTGATGGGAAGAGAAGAGTATGGAGAAGGAAAGGAACTGCTCATGATCCAAAGCATACCACCTCATCAGTGAAGCATGGTGGTGGTAGTGTCATGGCGTGGGCATGTATGGCTGCCAATGGAACTGGTTCTCTTGTATTTATTGATGATGTGACTGCTGACAAAAGCAGCAGGATGAATTCTGAAGTGTTTCGGGCAATATTATCTGCTCATATTCAGCCAAATGCTTCAGAACTCATTGGACGGCGCTTCACAGTGCAGATGGACAATGACCCGAAGCATACTGCAAAAGCAACCAAAGAGTTTTTTAAGGGAAAGAAGTGGAATGTTATGCAATGGCCAAGTCAATCACCTGACCTGAATCCGACTGAGCATGCATTTCACTTGATGAAGACAAAACTGAAGGAAAAATGCCCCTAGAACAAGCAGGAACTAAAGACAGTTGCAGTAGAGGCCTGGCAGAGCATCACTAGGGATGAAACCCAGCATCTGGTGATGTCTATGCGTCCAAGACTTCAGGCTGTAATTGGCTGCAAAGGATTTGCAACCATGTATTAAAAAGTGAAAGTTTGATTTATGACTGTTAATCTGTCCCATTACTTTTGGTCCCTTAAAAAGAGGGAGGCACATATACAAACTGTTGTAATTCCTACACTGTTCACCTGATTTGGATGTAAATACCCTCAAATTAAAGCTTAAAGTCTGCAGTTAAAGCACACCTTGTTTGTTTCATTTCAAACCCATTGTGTTGGTGTATAGAGCCAAAAAGATTAGAATTGTGTCGATGTCCCAATATTTATGGACCTGACTGTACATACCTGAAAAGAGACTTGCGTCCATCAAGTTCAGCCTTCCTCACATTAATTTTTTGCTAAAAAAACAGTGTTCCTATAATGGAGACAGTTGTGACATCAACTGCACCTGCTACATCTGGCACAAGTAGCTCATATTCCTTGTAGTGATGTTGTTTCTCCTTGCCTTGTTGATTTATGCAGTGTGACTACATCTTTTTCAGATGTAATTAGGAGAAGCTGATAGGTCAGTGTTTTTTCCCTACACTTAAAAACAACTTACCGTATTTTTTGCTCCATAAGACACACTTTTTTCCTCCTCAAAAGTAAGGGGAAATGTCTGTGCATCTTATGGAGCGAATGTGTGTTCCCTGGAGCCGAATCTGGGTTTTAGGGTTTTAAAGTTATCAACCATAGATTTAAATAAATCTATTTCTGAACAAATGTTTGTTTTGTTCTTTAATTTATTTTGCAAGGTCTCCAAGACATAGTTAAAACAAAATTGCTGGAGTAGATAGTCAGATGGTTGCACAGTGAGTGAGCTTGGGCACTACATGCAGCTGGGTTTGTGGGGTTTGGGTGCTGGCATCTTTTCAGGCCTGGTTCTGAGATGATGATTATCCCTTGCTCCCTTGCTTTGATTTTTTTTTTTATGGGGACTCTGCAAGATCATCCTCACCTTACACACGTTACAATATGAAGCTTGATGGCCCTATTTCAGGCCTACTTTTTGTACTCCCAGTTTTGCACCATGTGCTTGTGAGCATCTATCTACGATAAGTGGTCTCCACATGGTTTACATAATCTATCAACCTGTATTGTGTTCTCAGCTAGAGTGCCGTTATATGCTTAGTAATACTTCAAGCTTAATATTGCCGTGCACTGAGCGAATCAAATATTTTCTTTATAATAGTAAAACGTAGGTTTTTTTTTGGTGAGTCAACTAGGCCAAGTGTTGGTTTATTTGTGTAATGCTACCTTGATATATTTGTATATGTAGGATTTGTACACCATTTAATAAAGCAAGATTGACAACAATGCCATGCTTTCTTTCAAGTAAAACACAAGCTAATAAAAAAAACCTATATAATCTTGTATCACATAACTAATAGCAAAATATAGCAATACATAGCAATCAGTACTATTCTCATAGTTTTTCACTTAAGTGAGAATTCAAAGTTAATTTTAAATTTGAGATCAGAGTAGCTGAACTAGAAGCATTGCTGGCTTTGATCATTTTTCCAATTTGGCTATTTTGATCTTAAATTTAAAATTCACTTTGAATTCTCACTTTAGAGAATAACCCTGTATGTGTTCCCTTGTAGACTGGTTTGAGTAAATGTGTGTGATAAATTACAAGGTTTTCTAATGCACAAGAATAAATTGTACAAGTAAGTGAGCAGGAACAGTCCAATTCTTATTGTTCTGATCAAACCTAAAAAATGAATCTAGAGAAAAACATTGATATTATTAAAGTAATGAGAAAAAGGAAGTACACCCTGTTTGAATTCTATGTTTTTAAATATCAGGACACACTAAAAATCATCTGTTCCTTAGCAGGTCTTAAAATTAGGTAAATACCATCTCAGATGAACAACACAAGTCATATAACATTCCGTGTCATGGTTTATTTAACAAAAATAAAGCCAAAATGAAGAAGCCATGCGTGAAAAACTAAGAACACCGTTACTGTTTCCATAGGAATTGGGAGGCTATGTAGCAAATAGATGTTACTAATCAAATGCCCTTGATTAATTGATCATTGGCAATTGTGACCTAATCACTTCGATAAATGCCAACGTTTTAGCAGTTTGCTGGTATGGAGCATTCACGTTGCATCTTAACAAACCTGAAGATTTCAGGAACAACGTCCTTTGGACAGACGGGACGAAAGTGTAGATGTATTGCCATAATGCATAGTGCCACATTTGGCGAAAACCAAACACAGCATATTAGCACGAACACCTCATTCCAAATGTCAAGCACGGTGGTGGATGGATGATTTGGAATGTTTTGCCACCACAGAATTTAGGAATGTTGCAATCATTGAGTCAACCATGAATTCTGCTGTATAGCAATGCATTTCAGGGTAAAATGGGGCTGAAATTGGGTCATGCAACATGACAATGATTCCAAACACACCAGCAAATCTATATCAGAATGGCTGAAAAAGAAAATGAACAAGGTGTTACAATGGCCCTGTCAAAGTCCATACCTTAACCTGATTGAAATGCTGTGGCGTGACCTTAAGAGAGATGTGCATTAACAAATGCCAGCAAACCTCAATTAACTGAAGCAATGTTATAAAGAAGACTGGGCCAAAATGCCTCTACAATGATGAGAAAAAGATCATTTAAATTGCCGCTAAAGGTGTTTCTACAGGCTATTGAATCATAAGGTGTACTTAGTTTTCCACACATGGCTTCTCCATTTTGAGTTTTTTTGTTAAATAAATCATGACACTGTGTAATATGTCATTTGTTGTTGTTCATCTGAGGTTGTATTTACTGAATATTAAGGCCTGCTAAGGAACATGTAATTGCTGTGTCCTAATATGTAAAACCATAGAATTTGAAGGGGGTGCACTTTCTTTTTCCCATGACTGCATATTAATCAACATTTACATTTATCACAAACCAACAACTAAAACACCCTTTAGAAATTGTGGAAAGAACACAGTGAGTGGTATAAACAATGCAAAGTACCCCTATCCTCCAGAATGTTGTAGATGAAATAGGACTCCTCCAGGTCCTCAAAAAGTATACAAAAAAACTAAGTATCTACAGTGAAATACTCATAGAAACAGAACCCGTAGTGTAATAATGTGTATTCACCATATTACACCTTGAGATTTATTTCTATTACTAATTCACTTTGTTTATTGTTTTTTGTAATTGTTATGTCTTGCATTTAATCACCAAAACTGTGCAAAGAATTAAAGTTTTACATTCTTCATCTTTTGTGCTATGTCTTATTTTTTTAATTTTCTTACCATCACCTCTAATCAGTCGCTGTTTTACTGTGTAAAATATAAGTTATGTCTCTTGACAACACTATTATGACTCATTTTGCCTGTTTTGTAGTACTATTTGATTTGACAGTTTTTTTGAAATACTTATTTTTCAGATCATTGAAGAGTGGTAGGAAAGGGTCTTAGAGCATTACCGAACAAGAAGGTCCTTGTATATGCAAGAGTATTTCAAGTGATAGCTGACACAGATGGAGTTTCCCACAGTGCATTCAGCAGTAAAGCTGCAAACAGCATCTAAATATATTCCTGTTAATGTGATTTTCTGATTGAAAATGCAAAGGTCACAAGGAGGCCAACATCTATGTAAGGATTTCAGCATTACTGTCTGCAAAGGAATATGTGTAAAATGTCAAGGACAATAAGACTCTAATAGGATTCTAAACTTTAAGTAATTCTAATTCTTCTATGAACTCAAGTTGTTGAGAACCTCTGATGTAGGAAGAAAAAATATGGCAGTTAAGGGACAGTTGGTTTAGATGGAATCTTATAGGAACACTATAGTGAAAGGAATAAAAAAGCAGGACCCTGAATATTTACTTTCCTGCCAACAGCTGAACTATTAGGAGGCATGATGATCTGTAGAAAACCCTGTTTGGAACTAGTAGGTTGTAAACACAGGAGGCAAGTTATCCCTATAATTGCTGTCCAAGATTGTTGGATTTTTAAAAATGCTACAGAAACAAAAGATTCTCAGTATCTAAGAGACAACAGAAGGGTTATAAAATGTTTAATTCTTTGTGCTTAGCACCTCCTAATGTGTTCAGCATTTTAAACATGAAACACTAAATACTTTAAGAGCTAATTAAAAATGGAGAACAAAATAATGAAAAAAAAACATATTCATTAAAAACAAACAATATTAATACTATGTTGTAGTGAAAGAATAATAGGATATATAGAAGTATTATGAAAACATAGACAGGGTCATTTTGCAGCCCATGTTGATCAGAAACTCCTCTATATAGTGTTCCCATATCATAAAAAGAGTGATAGGGCACAAAAAAACATTGTGCATTACAATAATGGCATGCAATATACAATTAATGATATATTCTACCACATTCTGCTAATGCTACAATGTTAATAGCAGTCACATTACAAGACATCACACAAAAGTGTATATTTGTTGAAAGTAGACCCCTTGGCATATTTAACTTAGCCAAGGCATGTGACTGATGTGATTGTCTCCCAGGCTGATTTTTCAGGGCCTGTTAGATAGTATTGCTGGACAGCCTCATTACTCTATTAAACAGATATTTTGAAAAAAATGTTTGTTATTTTGTTATGTTCGCTTACATCTTTATATGAACTTGACAAGGTCACAATACTATTAGAGTGCTACTAGACTACACATGAGGCAAGTCATTTAGGGCATTACAGATATTCCAGGCAATTTAGCTATAACACACAATCAAACAAGAGAAAACTAATACAATATACTTTTATAAACAGTAGGGTAACCAAACCAATTCTTGACTAGATAATTTCATTCATAACCACTAATCAAGTGCCTAGGGGAAGAAGAAGGAAAGGAAAACACCTTCCATAGTATCCTTGGGAGAGAACTTCACTTTGTCCCCCCAAAATCAGGTCAGCCTGCTACCTCTCTCAACAGAGGTAAGCCTGAATAAACTGTAACCTAGCCCCAAATAAAGGTTAAGAATAGAAAAGGGAGAAAGAAAAGAAAAAAGGGATGGGGTGGGTGTTAGATTGGGGTTGAATAGGTGAATGCAGCCAATCCCACCCCATCACTTTAGTTGCTGTACGGAACCAATGAGAGACTGCCCAGCTACCAAAACTCTGTATGAATGTACAAATGTTTCATGTCCTCTCCAAACTTGACACAAAATCCAGCTACGGTAGCCAGATCTAATTAAATTTCTCCTCCAAATATTCTAACCATCATACCATCAATTTGCCTGATTTCTTCCTCTCTAGGTATCCATTGGTCTAAACTAGGTGTGATAGTCTTGATATCACTAAATACCTCTTGATAAGCATACATCATTCTTGCAAAGGGTTTTTAAGTATATTGGATAGTAGTGTATGATCTGGTGGTAGGGGAGTATCTTAAATTGCCTTTGTGCCCAGTTTCGTCTCAATGACAAACTGATGTGACATCCACAGTGGTATGGGATCCTTTGGTACCACATTTCCGCAGTAATTGGCTGTAGAGCTCTTCTGATATCCATTGTGTCTTGAAAGAGAGCCACCTCTGCACCTCAGAAAAAGCATGTTTGCTAATTTTTTTTTTTTAGTTTTACTCACCCCTCAGCATTGTTTGGTGTTTGACCTTGTAATAGTGAAAGCAGCATATTATGTTCCAAGGGGTATTTTTAAGTCTGCAGTTATTATGGCCAGGTCCTCTATGGATTATAAATAGCAATCCATAGGGCCAATTCCAACCCCGCTAGGGTGTCCAGCCATGTGCAAGCTGGGAATGCTTTCCTACCTTGGCCCATGTGAGTATCACCAGTCTGGTAGCTGACTGTGGTTTTCAAAGTCCAGAGCCCTTCTTTCACATGTCCATCTTGGTGGATCATCAAGACACACCCCGTGACCTTCACAGTTATTCACCTTTGAGAAATGTGTTACTTTAGATTAAAATTTATTTTGTTTCTGATACGAACCAACCTGTAGCAAATAAAAAAAGAAATTAACTGCACATGATGGTTGAAGATATTGTATATAGTGTCTTATGGAAAATAATGAATATATTCAGTTCGTGATATTTTGAACTGCTGATTTTAATTTAAGTAGAACAAATGTTGTATCAAGAGTTAAGTGGATAGTACAATCCAACTTTCTTAATTGCCAGCTTCCTTGTAAAACACATAATAATGTGATACAATAATTAGTCTGCTATCAAAGGTTCCTGCTGTGCACACACAGAGTTCCACAATAAATAGCAATAACAGCTTTTAAGCATGCGTTAGCTGAAAGCATTATAGTTAACCTTTCATGACTCTGGAATTCGCCCCCCATAGTTATTAAATATATCATTTATCTTAGAGATTTTTGATAAGACTATTACTTATAATGGATTTAGTTCCACCATGTCCACAGTTCAATGGATGTTACATTACTGCAATATCCATTCCAGTTATACTTGTTTTCTGCCCACACACAGTCTGGTTTAATTTTCAAAGGCCAAGCATTGACAGTTCCCCAAACATGGTAATCTTCATCCAGGGCACAAACATGCTGGCTTCAGCCCCACCACATGAACACCAGTCACTCCGTTCCCATACTAGATAGTAAACAAAGATGTAGCTAAGAAAACATCATAGAAGGAATGCTTGCTGACCATACTGGCCATTAAGGTAATAAAAGCAGGTAACCAAATCTACTTACTCAAATGAAGAACCTGACCAAAGAGAAAGGAATAAAATCTAGAATTTGAAATTAACAAATCCAAGCAGCAGAACCCACTGAGGAATAAGCAGTGGGAATAACTACTTCCATAACAGAACACTAAATTGACTTGACCACAGAAATGTTTATACTTGAACCAGTGTACTGTAAAAGTCAATGGTTGGATGGAAGCAACATGCAGAACTGTTATCTGGAGACATGGCTATTATGCACAAGCTGAATTTCATATCTGTATACAGTTGGCAAACATATACTGTATATATATATATATACAATTAAATCATGATGGGCATGCTGCTGAGAAGAGGTGCTGGAATTGCAATGACAAATGTATTTAGAATGCTACTCCAATTTTGAGAAATGCTATTTCCATTGGGATTATACATTATACATAGAAAGTGTTATTAATCAATATAGTGAAAAAGTGTTGGAAATAATTACTTAGAAAACGTAATAAATAGAAAGAGTCAGTCATCTTAAAGCAACAGGGATAACATAAAATGTTTCTAGAGAAGGTCAAAACTAGTATGTAGTTTTACTAACAGAATTATTCACTAAACTGAAAATTAAAAGTTAATTCAAGATGAGTTTCACAATTAAGGACATATAGCTGAACTGGAAAAATCTCTAAATTATCTGTGTTTCAGCTCAGCTATTCTGGCCTTAAATTTGAAATGTACTTTGAATTTACTTTGATTTCTCACTTTAGTAATTTACCTTGACACACTTTAAAGACCATTATATGATCTCTTTATACTATATTTTCCAGTAGCTTAAAGTTTATAAAATCACTCATGTTTATCTGTCCATTAAGTGGCTGTGTTGAGTTTTGTTTGTCATTTCTTCTCTTCCTTATTAGCAGTAGTTTTTTTTAAATTAAAAAGCTAAAATATTTATGATTTCTTTAATATTTATAAATTGGATAATTGTACTTTTAGAATACCAAAAAAGAAGAAAGAGAAGGCTCTAAACAGGACATGAACGTGAAGGTGATTATAGTGATTTTGGAAGCTATACTAAATGGACAAAAATATTGGGGCACCTGACCATTACACCAACAGTTACATTTGTGACATTGCAGCTCTACCAGTTCCACTCTTTTGGGAAGGCTTTTCACAATATTTTGGAGTGTTGCTGTGGGCATTTTGCCCATTCATCCAGTAGAGAATTTGTGAGGTCAGGCAATGATGCTCGACGAGAAGGCTTGGTACACAATCTCTGTTCCAGTTCATCACAAACGTGTTTGATTGGATTGAAGTCAGGGCTCTATTTGGGCCTGTCAAGTTCTTCTTCCACAACATACTTATCAGGATAACAATGTTATAACCAATCTGCCATTTTATAATCATTTACCATTTTGTCAGGTTCTATTTTGTAATCAATCACCATTTTAGATACAGGGGCCCTTTTGTGGTCAGACTCCATTTTATTGTTTACTGCTCAAATCTGCTTAAATTAATACTTTATATAAAGTATATATCTTGCCAGCACAAGTTACCTTAATTGCAGACTGCTGTTTCCTTTTAAGTAAAACATTTTTTTGCGAAGTATCCTTACGGTTGATACTTTGAGGAAGTAACATAAATAAATCATTAAAGTTGCAAGATGGTTAAAAATAAGCATTGTCCTAAAATATAAAAAGTTGAAAAATAATCAATTATATTTTGGGACACTAGCCTGAATAATGTCTGCAATGCCTGCCTTGTGAAATGATCATGAGTATTCTTTGTTAAATATCCAAGATAATTGCTGACTCTTTGTAATGTGATGTATAAACTTCTAATTAAGAACAATAAATCAAGATTTATTTCCTATATAAACTTCTAATTAAGAACAATAAATCAAGATTTAATTTGAAATCTTTCTTGTGTGTCAGTTTTTTCTCCTAAGCATAATAGCTTTAACAATACCAATCATATCTTTATGGACCTTGCTTTGTGCACTAAGGCACAGTAATGCTGGAATAGAAAAGAGCATTCCCCAAACTGTTTCCGCAAAGTTAGAAGCCCAACCCCTCACCCCTCCCGCCCCCATAGCATTATGCATCCACAAAACTTTACAGTTGGCACAATGCAGTCAGGCAGGTAACATTCTCCTGGCATATGCCAAACCCAGACTTGACCATCAGCCTGCCAAACCGAAAAGCATGATTCATCATTCCATGGAACATGTTTACATTGCAAAATAGTCTAGTGGGATGCTTTACAACACTTGATACAACACTTGGCATTGTACTTGGTGATT